GGTATTTCCCTTCCACTGCTACCGTCCCCTCCAGCGCTTCCACCACGCAAGGACGAGCCGCCATCCTCTCAAACGGGTGCCTCCTGGGCCCCATTCGGGCCACCGCCCGCTGCACTGCTTCTTCCGCTGCTCCTGCCGCCTCCTCTACGGCCTCGTCTACTGTTGCCCGCGGTCCCCTCCTTACTGTCGCCGTGCCCCTTCGGCCGTCTGCGGCACCACTACGCAGGCCCAGGTCTTCCCTCTCCCTCCCCGGGTTTGCCGCCATGAAGATGGGCTCCGGTCCTTCTTCGTCGGACTCTTCCGCGTACCTTGCGACGTGGACTGGCTTTTCCTCTTCTGCCATCGTGTCCTCTTCCTCTGCCCGAAGCCTCCTCAGCTCCTCTTCCAGCTCCTCGATCCTTCCTCTCCTTCCCCCTCGACCCTTCTGCTCGCGTTGCTTAGTGTAGCAATTGTCAGCCTGATGCCCCTTTCTCTGGCAATAGGAGCAGGTTTGCAGCTTGGGGCAGTCCCTCTTGAAGTGCCCCGGCTCCCGGCACTTGTAGCAGACCGGCTCTTCTCCAGGAGAGTGGGCCGCGCTGCGAGGCTTCCGCGTCCGACTCCTAGAGGCTCGATCCCTTTCCTGGTCTTCCTCTTCCGCCTCCTCCCCAGCCAGTAGGGCCCCTCCCCAGCCGACTCCCCTGCGCTCTCTCTCCCTGGGCGGCTTCTCGGTCTTCCTCCCCAGGTCATAGAGGCTCAGGGACTGCTCGTGTCGCCATGCGATTTCATACGCCTGTCGCAGCGTGGCGTTGGGACCCAGGTCGTATGTCCGATCCCTCACGGTCCGTGCTAGCTCTCCGGCCAGGCCGTCCAAAAATTTGGCTACTATAATACGCGGTTCGCTGCAGCCGATGTCCTCCGCCAGTTGATGCACTCGCCGATAATAGCCCAGGAGAGACTCTCGTGAACCTCGTCTCAACTGGTCGAACTCCCTCATCCTGGCCGGCGTTTGCGTGGGGAAGTGCGCCGCCAATTCTTGCAGGAAGCGCTCCGTCGGGTCCCGTAAGCGGATGGGCTTCCCTTCTTCGTCCCGTAGCAGTCGGCCCTCCTCGTCTCGCTCTTCCTCCTGCAGCAGCGGGTCCCTAATCTCCAGGTAAAACGCTTCCGCCTCCCCCGCCAGCGTGTTCCCCAAAGATCTGAAGAAGTGCCGTAAATCCAGGCCGTCCATCTCCCATCCGTATTTCTCGTTCCGCACGTGCATCGCGTAGGTCTTCACTCTCGGTCCCGACTCTTGATCTCCACTGAAGCGACTCGGAACCTCCACCTTAGGGAGGCTGGTGTATCGGTAGCGTGACCCCTCCTCCCACAGCGAGCGTCTTGAATTCCCGCTTCCGGATGGCGTCATCTGCCCTCCCCTTCCTCCTTCTGATCTGGCAACTGGCGCAGCGATGCCCCTCCCCGCCACCGTCGCCTGTTCTTCTGACGGCGACAGCTCTCCCTGGGTTCAACTCTCATCGGCAGCACCTTCTCTTCTCATTATGCCGAACATGACACTCCCACACTCCACCACACTCACCCACAGTGAAGTGTGGTCACAGTTGGCATTGCCATCTGTCCACCCATCCCATACTCACCTTGTTGGCTCCTATGGTGTGCCACATGCTGCCATGTAGGCTGTTGTTCCAGCCTGGCCCACATGTGCAACATGTGGCCTCAATTGCTAGCTTGGCAAGGTTGGCTAGCCCTGCCCTCAGCTTTGAGGTGCTGCAGCTAGCCTCAAGAGTTCAGCCACATAAATGTGGCTTCCCACTTCTCTAGAACTCATCCTTGGAAAGGACATTGCTCTAGCCTTTCAGGCTTGTACCATCTTCCTACTAAGGATATATTGTTCTTCTCTCATTGTGCCTCAAGTTCACCGATCCTCATTCTACATGCTATCAGAGCAAGGCTTCTAGCTTAGTGAACGTTGCACACTTCATGGCTCAAGTTGAAACGCCTCTCGGTCGGCACACCCTTCCCATCTTGGAACCAGATGGTTCCAACTTCATTCCATGGAAGAAAAAGATCTGCTACATCTTCAATGTCCTCGGGCCGATCTCCCTCCTTGGAGATCCCAAGGTTGCTTCGCGTCCTTCAATCTCCTCTTCCACAACCAGCGGTGGAGAGACTACCGAAGGCAACAGCGGTGCAGCCCCTAAGACAGCCCATTCGATTGCTTCGCTGCCGGATGAAGAAAAAGAGGAGCATGCATACTATCTTCTCATGTCAGCCGTCCATCCTCAACTATCTCTCACTCTTGCTCAAGCCAACACGACAAAGGATATGTGGGGATGTGTCGCACCCTCTCCCAGTGGATCCGCCCTCCCGTCCTTCTCTTGCTCTGTGCCCTCTAATCCTTACTTCTCTCCCTGCTTCCCCGCTTCCTTGTGCACACCTCCTCCTCGTCTCTTATAGGTAATGATACTCTCTGGACCCCTGTCATGTAAAGAAGCCCTCGACGCGAGTGGCTAGTTTCCTTCCCTAGGCACAAATGGCCGCACTAGTTTGGCTTCTCCGACGTGGATCTAGCAGTTGCTCAGCTTGACGACAGATCACAACTGAATCACAAGCTTTCCCACAATTACGAGAAGACAAACAAAAGTGAATTGGTGTCCTTGCTGTGCTAGTTTTGGCTTCCTGTCACCCCTCGTGAATCTGTGCCTTGGGGTCTGCCAACTACCTCTCGCACCGCCCAACCCTTGGGCTCCTTTCCATGCATGCGACTCGGGCAAGCCTCGTCACCCCTGTCCCCTTTCCGCTTCACCGGTGGCCCTTGCCAGGTCAGCCGTCGTCCCGTCCTCATTTCGAGAGGCCCCGCCTCGATTCTTCTATCCCTGCCACAATTCTAATATCACCACAAAACCCCCCCCCTTACCCGTACACTCTACAGCACAATTTATAACAACAATACAACAATACTACTTCCCTTACGATTTACCCAACCATACTCACCTTAGGAGCTGTCTCATGAACTTTTGTGCACTCATTCGCAAGAGTCATGCGACAGATGCATCATGGCGCGGTTCGACTGCATGGGCAACCATGCACAAGTGGCTCTCCTCCGGGATCTCATCACTACACGGATGGACCCAACAACAAGTCTTCGCTCCTACTTTGATCGAGTTGGAAACCTTACACACCAACTCAAATCTGCCGGCTTTGAGCTACCATCATGGGTGGTGGTAATCTCCATCATCCTCAACCTTCCGGACTCGTTCAAGACCCTTACTGAAACCATTTGCACCGTGAAAGACATAAAGTCTATGACGGTTGAATACCTACAGTCACGCCTACTCGATGCCGATTGGGAGCGGTCACAATCTGGTACAAGCCGTAACATGGAGGGTGCATACAACCTCAATTCCCAGCCCTCCCACCCTCTTCGCTCCGGTTCACGCCAGTCGCCCACCTGCCGTTACTGCAAGAAAACGGGTCACACCATCGATGAATGCTTCAAATTGAAGAAGAAGAAAGAGCTTGAAGAAAGCTCTAAACGGGAGAAATCCGTCTTCCAACCTTCGGTGCATGTCTCCACCAGCTCCTCTGCTGAAGCTACTCCGACCCCCACACCACCTCCTGCCCCATCAACCCCTCAGTCCGTACCTGATTCCCGGTACGTGGACATTGCTGTCAGCACCAGCCACCACCCCATCTTCTCCACATGGACTCCTCTCGTCGCTGCTGTCTTCATTCTCACCATCCTCCTTCTCCTCCTCCTCTTCCCTTATGGGGCTCCCTACGCATCGGCATTCACGGCCTCCTCATTCAATATGGAGCGGACTTCGTCGTGGCTGGTGGACAGCGGCGCATCCTCCCATATCTGCTCGGATCGTTCGCTGTTTTCGTCTCTCAAGAAGCCCAACGAAGAGATCCTTGTTCGTTTTGGTGGAGGAGAGACTTACAAGGTCTTGGGAGTCGGCACGGTGGTGGCTACTCTTCGGTCACCAACATCGGAAACCACCATTCAGCTTGACAACGTTCTATTTCTCCCTTCATCAGTTCACAACCTGCTCTCTGTTCGTGCGCTTGGTGCTGCCGGCGTTGCCGTCTCGTTCCCCGCTGCTGGGCGCGTTGTTCTCACATCTGATGACGTTCCTATTGGCGAGGGCTACACCCGCAACAATCTGTTTTATCTTCAACTGCATCATGGGAGCAGTGCTGCTCCTTCTATCAGGCCAACTGCATGTCCAGCCTCCACCACCACCTCCTCGTACCTCTGGCATCGTCGTTTCGGGCATCTCAACATGCAGGCCTTGTCAACACTTCATCGGCAGCAGCTGGTCACCGGTCTTCACCTCTCCTCCACCTCGATTCCCCCCTGCATCTCGTGCTATCGTGGGAAACAAACACGTCAGCCATTTGGCGTGTCCAATTCTCGCACCACAGCCCCACTCCAACTCATTCACTCAGATATTGCTGGACCGCTTTCATATGGAACTACCATTGGCGGCGCTCGCTACCTTCTCACCTTCATCGACGACTACTCCCGCCACATTACAGTGTATCTCCTACGCCACCGGTCGGAGGCACTTTCATGCTTCAAGGCTTACGTCACTCGGGTGCACAACATGCATTCCCCACACACCATCAAAACCTTTCGCTCTGACGGTGCCTTGGAGTTCACTTCCAAAGCCTTCACTTCATTCCTTACAGCTCGTGGCATCGCCCGCCACCTCTCCACGCCATACACACCTGAGCAAAATGGAGTAGCTGAGCGGGCCAACCGGACTTTACTTGAGATGGTCCGTTCCATGCTCCATGATGCACACATGGACAAAGGCTGGTGGGGTGAAGCCGCTCTTACTGCTGCCTATCTTCGTAATCATGCCATTAGTCGGGGTGGTTCAACTTCTAAGACTCCCATGGAACTATGGACCGGTGCACGTCCGGATGTATCACACCTCCGCATCTTCGGTTCACCCGTCTCGGTCCTCATTCCTTCCCAACGGCGTTCTAAGCTCGACGACCGAAGCACGGCCGGCATCATGGTTGGATATGGTCATCTCGACGGCACCAAAGCTTACCGCATCTATATCCCATCTCAGCACCGTGTCATCCTTTCTCGTGATGTCATCTTCATGGAGCCCTCTGCACCGCCTTCCGACGACTCTCGCGACCCTCCATCGTCATCTCCACCCACATCCTCCTCACTACCTCCTCCTACACACCCTTCTTCCTTGGACCCAATCTCCCCTCCCTCTCCTTCCCCCACCATACCTTCCTCCACCAACCCCCACCCACAATCCCCAAACCTGCCCGCACCAGCCACATCTTCTCCTCCTCCATTGTTTTCCAACCTTCCTCTGCCCTCGACGCCGCAAGACTTTCACCTTCCATCCTTCTCTCCTCCCTCTTCGCCTCCCCTTCCCCATTGCACGACTCGCTCCTCCCCGCCATCCCCTTCAGCTCTTCCCGATCCTTCCCTTTTCTCCTTCCTCAAGGTCTTACCATCCCCTTCCGAACCCATTGACTTCACTCTTCCTCCTCTTTCCAACACCTCTGCCAATGCTGCCCTTCACCATCATTACGAACCTCAAACCATTCATGAGGCTCGTACCGGCCCTGATGCTGCCGAATGGATCAAGGCTGCTGATGCGGAACTCGCTGCCCTGCACGCTAATGACACCTACAGCATTGTTCCTCGACCACCCAAGTGCAAGCCGATTCCATGCAAATGGATTTTCAAGGTCAAGGAGAACGCTGATGGTTCTATTGAACGCCGCAAAGCCCGCCTTGTTGTCAAAGGCTTCAAGCAACGTGATGGTGTTGATTTTCATGACACCTTTGCTCCTACCGTCCGCTTCGCCACCCTCCGCTTGTTTCTCACCATAGCTGCCGCTTTCAACCTGGACGTCCATCAGCTGGACATCTCCAACGCCTTCCTCAACGGCACCCTTGATGAGATTCTCTACATGATGCAGCCTCCCGGTTATGACCTTCCGGCGGTCCATGGTGTTGAGCAAGTTTGTCTCTTGCACAAACCGCTGTACGGGTTGAAGCAAGCTCCGCGATGCTGGTACCGCAAGCTTCGTGAGGAGCTTGCTGCCTTTCACCTCTTTGCTGCTCGTGCGGACCCCGGCCTCTTCATTGCTCCTCCTCACTCACCTTATCGGCCTACAGCTGCATCCTTCTTCATGCTTCTCGTCTATGTTGACGACCTCATCATTCTCTCCTCCTCCTCCTCTCTTCTTGCCTCATTCAAGCATGCCCTTTCATCTCGCTTCAAACTTCGTGACCTCGGACCTCTCTCCTACTACCTTGGCTTTCACATCACTCGTGATCGAACTTCCCGCACTCTCCACCTTCATCAATCCAAATTCATCACCTCCATTCTAGACACCTACTCCTTCTCTCCACTGAACCCCGCTGCCACTCCCATGGACACAAAGTTTCAGCCACCCGTGACTTCCTCCCCGCACTCCTCCTCCTTCCCTTACACCTCGTTTGTCGGCTCCATCATGTATGCCATGGTGGGGACCCGTCCCGACCTCGCATATAGCGCTGGAGTTCTTGCTCGTCACCTTCACGATTGGTCTACTCCTCACGTCTCGGCTGCCAAACGCATTGCTCGCTACTTGAAAGGGACTACCTCCCTTGGGCTTCTCCTTGGTGGCATTCCCGACACCCTCGAACTTCATGGCTGGTGTGACGCCTCTTGGGGACCGGAGGGGGAGCTGCGTCGCTCCGTTACGTGCTACTTGTTCTTCCTCGGTCCGTCACTCATCTCTTGGCAGTCCAAACGCCAAGCCGTCGTTGCTACCTCTTCATGTGAAGCTGAATATTACTCTCTGGGCGCCGCGGTGCACGAGGCATTATGGCTTCGTTCGCTCCTTACTGCAGTTGGACTTCCCCCTACCGGCCCCACCCGTATCTCGTGTGACAACAACAGTGCCATCATTCTCGCCAAGGACGATGGCGTCTTTCATCCCAAGGCCAAGCACATCGACATCAAGCACCATTTCATTCGCGATCATGTTGCCGACCACTCCATCACCCTTCACTATGTTCCTACGCAAGACAACCTCGCTGACATTGGGACCAAGCCTTTGCCCCGTGACCCTTTTCTTCTCATCCGTGGTCTTCTCGGTCTCACCCATGTTTCCTCTTGAGGCACCCTACCCCGGGGACATCCTTGAGGGGGGGTGTTGTGGAAGCAAGAATGTCCCAGTGGGTACCTTTGGTCTTAGTGGTCGCGGGTTCAACTCTCATCGGCAGCACCTTCTCTTCTCATTATGCCGAACATGACACTCCCACACTCCACCACACTCACCCACAGTGAAGTGTGGTCACAGTTGGCATTGCCATCTGTCCACCCATCCCATACTCACCTTGTTGGCTCCTATGGTGTGCCACATGCTGCCATGTAGGCTGTTGTTCCAGCCTGGCCCACATGTGCAACATGTGGCCTCAATTGCTAGCTTGGCAAGGTTGGCTAGCCCTGCCCTCAGCTTTGAGGTGCTGCAGCTAGCCTCAAGAGTTCAGCCACATAAATGTGGCTTCCCACTTCTCTAGAACTCATCCTTGGAAAGGACATTGCTCTAGCCTTTCAGGCTTGTACCATCTTCCTACTAAGGATATATTGTTCTTCTCTCATTGTGCCTCAAGTTCACCGATCCTCATTCTACACTCTCGTCTTTTCCCTCCTCTTCACCGCCATTCTTGCCCAACACTTCACACTCGCTCAGCCTATCTTCTGAAGCTGCAAACGAAATTGCTTCCGCTGCCGGTTTCGAGTGACATGCACCCATGCGGCCAAGGAGAGCAAGGAGGAAAACGACAGAGCCTATTGTAAAGTCCTTCATGCAGCCTTGCAAAGTTGATTGCGTCAGTGCCTTGCCTCGAACGTTTGGCCTGACCTGCTGCTGCAGATGCAAGCAATCGCTCTGGCTCAATTCTCTATCATCCTTTCTCATCACCTTCCCCACCCTCACCGTCTCTTTGGCTGCTGTGTCGCGAGTGTACGACCTGCTGCCGCAGATGCCAGCCATTCCCAAATCACACGAACCCCCACGAACCTTCCCCCCTCTTTCCCTCTTAGCTTCATCCTCTCCTTAATTCCTCCCTCCCTGCCCTTAGTGTCACGAGTGCACGACACGACCTGCTGCCCCAGATGCCAGTCATCGCCAAGGCTCACGAGGAGCTCTGCCCTCCCTCCCTTCAACCACCCAAATTGCCTCATGGAGCAATCCTCTCTCCTCCTTTCTCCCCATCCACCCCTCCTCTCCTTTCCTGCAGTGTCGCGAGTGTATGACCTGCTGCCTCAGATGCCTGCTATTGCCAAGGCTCACGAGGAGCTCTGCCTGCGCTTTACTGCCGCCATGAACAAGGTACGGTGGGTTGCAGTGCGGTGAAGTGTGGTACAATCGCCGGCCATAGGCAAGACACACGAGGAGCTGTGCCTGCTATTCACCGTTGGCACGAATAAGGTGCATGCGCTAGGGTTCTATAGTGAAGTGTGGTGCAGCATGGTGAAGTGTGGTTTAGACGCCCCCCCCCTGCCAGGCATATACGAGTAGAGTAGCTCTTCCTCCTGATATATGGCATGGTGTGATCGCCAGCTTGTTGCTCGCTGAGCATGGTACTGTAGGTTGGGTGAGAGCATGGTACCATGCTATGCTGCCGCGTAAGAGGCACAGCGTGGAGGTGTACCACGTGCTGCTGGAGGGGCTGCTGCTGCTGTCCCTCTAACCCCCATCCACCCCTTCCCAATTCCACCCACGCCCGGCTGACAGTGATGAAGCATGTGTGGGTGAAGTCGCTGTCGCTCCAGGCGAAGGAAGGTGTAATGTAATGTGTGCTGCAGGAGGGGGCCAATCTTACAGTGCTGAATGTGCATTCTGTATAAACCCCATTCAACCCACCCCATCCCATCTCCCCCTCCACGTACCCAGCTGACAGTGATGAAGCATGCAAGGGTCAAGTCTCGGTCACCACAAGCCAAGGAGGTGCGGGTGGAGGTGTACTGCATGCTGCTGGAGGGGCTGCTGCTGCTCTCAACTTGCATTCCCTTCCCTGTAACCCCCACCCCACCCACCCAAAACCCACACGTGCACAGCTGACAGTAATGAAGCATGCGCGGGTGAAATCGCGCTCCCCCCAGGCGAAGGAGGTGCGGGTGGAGGTGTACCGAGTGCTGCTGGAGGGGCTTACAGCGCTGTGCTCCCTTTAACCCCCATCTGACCCCTCCCGATTACCCGCACACCCAGTTGACGGTCATGAAGCATGCAAGAGTCAAGTCTCGTTCACCACAAGCGAAGGAGGTGCGGGTGGAGGTGTACCGAGTGCTGCTGGAGGGGCTGCTGCTGCTCTCCCGCTGGTCCGGCCGCCTGCTGCAACACTTCGCCTGGAAGACCCACCTTGCTGCTTCCTCCCACACTGTTGCTCCTCCCCCTGCCAGCACTAACTCTCCTGCTGCTGCTGGTGCCTCAAACGCTGCTGGTGTGGCTGGTGGTTTTGCTGCTGCTGACGCTGCAAGCACCGAGGCAGCAGCAAGGGAAAGTGAGAGCCCAGCAGCGGACGGAGGGCCGAGGAGGCTTCATCAGCTCTTTGCTGAGGCAGCTGGGCTCCCGCCTTCACCATCCCCATCACCACCCGTAGTTGGGAGTGCTGCGGGTGCTGGTGGAGCCGCTGGTGTTGGGGGTGTGGGCCCAGGCGGAGGCAAAGGGAAGCAGAACCTGAGTGCATACGAGCAGGTGAGGCCAGGTGGCGTGAAGGGTGGGTTTGGGCGGTTGCAAAGGGAAGCAGAACGCTGACTGCAGATGAGCAGGTGAGGCTGTACTCGCCTTCCCCTCTTACCTGTCATGGTATAACTCGCTCTCTGCACACCCTCTTTCCTCTTCCTCCTATGCCTCTTCTTCTCTCGCATTAGCGTCTACATTCGCTTTTTTTGGACGGTCCGTCTTCATATTCGCCGTTCTCGCGTTAGACTAGAGCTTGACCTGCCTTTTCTACCAATTTCCCGTGTCCCCGCCCGATGCTCTCTCTTGCCCCCCGCTGTCTTTGAGCAGATGGTGCAGCATGGTTTCTCACAGGCAGAGCTGCAAGCTGTGTTACAGGTGTGTATTGGTGCTGGGTTTTTGGCTGTTGTTGCGAATGTTGAGGCGGTTTCTGCTGTGTGTGTGGGTGTGTGTAGTGTATCTCTGTGTGCGTTGGGTTTTTCTTTTGTATGTTTTGACTCTCGCATCTCTAAGCCTCTTTTATTGCCATTCTCATACGGTAATATGCTTATCCGTCCTCCCTTGCTCCATATTGCGCTTTCCTATTTACTATTCACCTCCTCAACTGTCCCTTTTTTCTTGCCCTTCTCCCTGGTATTAAAAAATGCAGATATATCAGTCGATGAAATTCTTTCTTCTCCTCCTCCCCTCCCGCCCCACTCAGTTGATCTGATCTCCTCATATCCTCCCTCTCACCTCTCCCTTGTCCAGCTGATTGCATACATAAAGGGCGTGGCGGCCATGATGACAGCAGTGGAGGGGGACATTGCATGGGTGCTGCGGGAGGCCATCCACGCGGACGTGCAGGAGTTTGCACGCGTGTATGTGGCCTCTCTGCTCAAGCGTGTCTCCTCTTCCAACATGGACTCACCCTACGCGAGGTAGGTTATGCTGTCATAGTGTGTTAGTATGTATGCACCACGAGAAGCCATCCACGGGCAGGAGTTTGCACACGTGTATGTGGCCTCGCTGCTCAAGAGGGTTTCTTCCTCCAACATGGATTCACCTTATGCCAGGTAGGTTAGGTATTCACAGTGTGGCCGTATATCCAGGTGACTTTTGAGTCGACTCAAAAGTCACCAGGTAGGTTAGGCATTCACAGTGTGGCCGTATATCCAGGTGACTTTTGAGTCGACTCAAAAGTCACCAGGTAGGTTAGGCATTTACAGTGTGGCCGTATATCCAGGTGACTTTTGAGTCGACTCAAAAGTCACCAGGTAGGTTAGGCATTCACAGTGTGGCCGTATATCCAGGTGACTTTTGAGTCGACTCAAAAGTCACCAGGTAGGTTAGGCATTCACAGTGTGGCCGTATATCCAGGTGACTTTTGAGTCGACTCAAAAGTCACCAGGTAGGTTAGGCATTCACAGTGTGGCCGTATATCCAGGTGACTTTTGAGTCGACTCAAAAGTCACCAGGTAGGTTAGGCATTCACAGTGTGGCCGTATATCCAGGTGACTTTTGAGTCGACTCAAAAGTCACCAGGTAGGTTAGGCATTCACAGTGTGGCCGTATATCCAGGTGACTTTTGAGTCGACTCAAAAGTCACCAGGTAGGTTAGGCATTCACAGTGTGGCCGTATATCCAGGTGACTTTTGATTGAGTCGACTCAAAAGTCACCAGGTAGGTTAGGCATTCACAGTGTGGCCGTATGCACCACGAGAAGCCATCCATGCAGACGTGCAGGAGTTTGCACGCGTGTATGTGTTCTCGCTGCTCAAGCGGGTATCCTCCTCCAATATGGACTCGCCCTACACCAGGTAGGGAGTGAGAGTATGGCCACATGCATGCAGCACCAGAGGCCTCATGGAGTGTGCACGCGTTTATGTAGCCTCGTTGCTCATGCGCGTATCCTTCTCCAACGTGTTTTTACCCGATGCCATGGGTGACATGCCAGGCAGTGATAATATGGACAACTGTTCACTATATATTATATGTGTGCTGCTATGCTGTTGAATTTACTACTCTTTTTGTAACTTCCATTCCACCCGAGATGTTTCCTTCCTGCGTGTCTTTTCTCTCCATCATGCATACCTCCCTCTGTGCTGTGTGTGTTCTGGTATGCATACCAGCAGCACAGCACAGCAGTGCAATGCGGTGCGCTATGTTGTGCTCCTCCGCGTTGCTGCGCGGCAGGTCACTACTGAGGATCACGGCAGTGGTGGCAGACTGGGCGGGGATACCCGAGGAGGAGGCGCTGGAGGTGATGGCGAGGAGCCACAGGTGGCATCCCATCAAGCGTCTTACCCTGCCGCACCCCATCAAGCGTCTTACCCTGCCGCACCCCATCCCGCCCTCCCTCTGTGTGTTGCCTCTTGCTGCTGCAGGACGTTGCTGAGGATCCGCGCAGTGGCGGCGGACTGGGCGGGGATTCCGGAGGAGGAGGCACTGTCAATGAGGACGCTCCTCATGTTCTATGCTATGCTCAATCTTGTGCTCCTCCTCCTTGCTGCTCCGCTGCAGGACGTTGCTGAGGATCCGCGCAGTGGCGGCGGACTGGGCGGGGATTCCGGAGGAGGAGGCACTGTCAATGAGGACGCTCCTCATGTTCTATGCTATGCTCTATCTTGTGCTCCTCCTCCTTGCTGCTCCGCTGCAGGACGTTGCTGAGGATCCACGCAGTGGCGGCGGACTGGGCGGGGATTCCGGAGGAGGAGGCACTGTCAATGAGGACGCTCCTCATGTTCTATGCTATGCTCTATCTTGTGCTCCTCCTCCTTGCTGCTCCGCTGCAGGACGTTGCTGAGGATCCGCGCAGTGGCGGCGGACTGGGCGGGGATTCCGGAGGAGGAGGCGCTGGAGGTGGTGGTGAAGAGCAGGAAGGGGCACCCCGTGAATGAGGACGACCTCAAGCGGCTTGCCTTGCCGCGCCCCACCCCGCCTTCCCTCGCCCAGGTGAGTCACATGTACAGGCTGACAGTCACTGGTCGGTCACAGGCTCACTGGTCAGTCTGTCAGTGGCTCGTGCTTGCATGCTAGCAGGTGGAGGTGGTGGGGAAGAGCCGAAAAGGCCATCCTGTGGGATTCACTTAGTGTGAATGAGGACGACCTTAAGAGGCTCCCACCGCCGCGCCCCACCCCGCCTTCCCTCGCCCAGGTGAGTCTTTCCCAGGTTGTCTTAATTCCTGTGTGGCTTTAAGCGCATTTTGAACGCCTGCGGCTCTTCTTCCCCTGGCCTCCTGCTCTTCTTCCCCTGGCCTCCTGCTCTTCTTCCCCTGGCCTCCTGCTCTTCTTCCCCTGGCCTCCTGCTCTTCTTCCCCTGGCCTCCTGCTCTTCTTCCCCTGGTGTCACCGAATATGCACGGTTGTGCATATAAGGTGCCAGAATCATGGTGGTGTAGTGGAGGTGTAGCTATGTTGTGTTTGCAAATTCGAGGATAGGTAGGTGGGAGCTGGGAAATTGACGCGAAGTTGGTAGGAGAGCACCTTGGGTGAAAACCTTGCAACCAATGAGAACGAACCAACCCAGGCTCGAACCGCACATTGAGAAATGCACGGTTCGAGCCAGGGTCAGGTAAGTTCACTCTCACACACACCTCTGATGCTTTCTGGTTGTTATCCTTTCGTATAGTGGACTATTGTCACCTTACCAGAGCAGGCAGGTGGTACACCACTCAGGGAGGACCTTAGAGGTGAGAGTTCTGACCTTAGAGGTGAGAGTTCTGACCTTAGAGGTGAGAGTTCTGACCTTAGAGGTGAGAGTTCTGACCTTAGAGGTGAGAGTTCTGACCTTAGAGGTGAGAGTTCTGACACTTTCATAACAACCAGAAAGGGGTGCGCGTACAAGCATGGATGTGTACGAGATGCGTTACGGCAGGAATTATGGCCGCCATGAGGCGGATCGCTCGCGGCGCGAACGCTCACGTGAGCGCGGGCGCTCGCTGGAGAGGTCGCCGCGGCGGCCTGAGCGATCGCCGCGGAGGCCGGCCTTTCGCGCGGATCAGGTCCCTCTCGCGCCAGATCGCCAGGAGGGAGGTTCCGCCCGAGAAGGAAGAGGCGGATCTGGATCCGTCACGGCGGGGAGTGACCCGTGGCGGACGGACGGGCGTCACGGAGCGGATGGCGGTCGTGGGTACCGCCAGGACACGGGAGCATACCGCTCGCCGGAGGAAGGCTATCGCCGTCGCGAAGGGAGAAGTCGCGGGCGAGGTCTGGAGGGGCTCTTCTCGGGTCGCCAAGGCGATCTTGATGTGGATGGAGAAGACGAGGCCGACTCGGCGAATCGAGTGCGAGAGACGAATCGTGAAGGCGAGACCAAGGGCGATGACGAACCCCAGGAGGAAGGCGCAGGCGAGCAGCGCGAGATGCCCGCTGGAGTTGATGACGACGATCCCGCGCAGGCGGGCGTGGCGGCGGAGCCGAGCACGGCGGAGGCGGAAGAAAAGGGCGGTACTACCCGAGACCTGCCGCGCGACGGAGAGAAAGGTGACGGCGGGGGGCGTGGCAGTGGCGCGCGCTCTCCAGATCCCCGTCAGCAGCGTGACGAGGGACGTGGCGACGGCGCGCGTTCGCCTGATCCGCGCCTGAATCGGAACGGAGGACGCGGCGGCGGAGCGCGCTCGCCAGAGCCTCGGCTGAATCGTGATGGGGGACGCGACGGAGGCACGCGCTCGCCAGATCCACGGATGTATCGGGAAGGGGGGCGTGGCGGCGGCGCGCGCTCTCCAGATCCGCGTCAGCAGCGTGACGAGGGACGTGGCGACGGCGCGCGTTCGCCTGATCCGCGCCTGAATCGGGACGGAGGACGCGGCGGCGGTGCGCGCTCGCCAGAGCCTCGGCTGAATCGTGATGGGGGACGCGACGGAGGCACGCGCTCGCCAGATCCACGGATGCATCGGGAAGGGGGGCGTGGCGGCAGTACGCGCTCGCCAGATCGGCGGCAGAATCGTGACGGGGAACGCGGTGGCGGCGCGCGCTCGCCAGACCCGCGTCTCCCGCACGAGGACGGGAGGCACGGAAGCGGCTACCGCTCGCCAGGACGGCAGCAACTGCAGGAAGAAAGGCGCAGAGGCGGCTACCGCTCGCCAGAGCTACGGCGACACCAGGACAGTGGACGCAGGGGAAGCGTGCGCTCACCAGATCCGCGGAGGTATCACAACTGGAGAAGCGGGGGGGAGCTGCGCTCTCCAGGTCCTCGTTACCCTCGTGATGAGAGACGCGGAGGCGACTACCGCTCGCCTGATCTGCAACGGTATCATGGAGAGAGGTGGGGAAGCGAGACGCGCTCGCCCGACTGGCACAGGCAACATGAAGAAAGCCGGGGAGGCGGATACGGCTCGCAGCTTCGGCAACAGAGCAGGGATGAGGGGCGCGGCGGAGGGTATCACTCACCTGATCGGTACTGGCAGCATGACGGAAGACGTACCAGTGAGGGAGGACGGGATCAACGCAAAAGCAGAGAGGAAGGCAGCGGGCTGATGCACAGCCTAGAACGGGCTAGACAGGCGAGGGAAGGAATACTGCGGGCGAGAGAGAGAGGAGCGTCAGGGAGATCACCAGGAGGGCCGAGCGAGGCGTGGGGAGAAGGCAAGGGAAGCACGGTGATGGCCACGAGAGTGGAAGTGCCAGCACGCTTCTCAGGAGATCAGCGCACGGGCCCCACGCTGAAGAACTACCTGATGCAAGTGGGCAACGTGCGGTACAGATGCGAAAGGAGCGGCATGGACTCGGTGGACTTTTTCCTGAGTCTGCCAAACACATTGGAAGGGGAGGCGGAGACATTGTACAGGATGAAGGTGGATGAGCTACTGGAAAGGGCAGGAAGGTACGGGGAAGACCCTACTGAAGCATTCCTGAGGCGGCTGAAACGGCAGTTTCCAGGTCACACCGCAGAGATGGTTAGGGAATTCCAAGATTTCAGGAAGGGGCGGGGCGAGTCACTACTCACCTACTATAACCGGCTGGTCAACCTGGCAGAGGATGTGACTTGCGCAGACATGGCCCTGCTCGTGAGTAAATTCCTGGATGGGCTGGAGGGCACTTTGGGAAGCGGACGGCGGATGAAGGTGTATGAGATGGGGGCCGACACAACGCTTGAAGAGGTGTTTGAACTGGCAGAGAAGATGGAGCTGGCGCAGAGGAAATATGAAGCATACAGGCCCAGACAGGCGGAGCGAGGCAGGGGGCCTACATGGGCTGCGGCCATGATACCGGAGGAGAAGGATAGGGCAGCAGGAAGATGGGAGACCAGGCCTGACACACGAACATGCCACAGATGCGGGCAGCCAGGACACTTGCGCCGAGACTGCAAGAACTGTGACTCCTGTGGCAAGCCAGGGCATCGGCGGCGGGAATGTCCAACGGCACCGAAGTGTGAAGTCTGTGGGAAAGGAGGGCATGCAGCAAAGGAGTGTTATCAGCGAGAGGGAGCAGCGAAGAAGTCACCAGAAGATCTGGAGAAGCAAATCAGCAGGCTGCAGGCCCAGCTGCAGGCAATGGGACCACGACAGGAAGCTGAGGCGGGGATGTACGCCAAGGAAGAGGAGGAAGAAGATGTGGAGCAGGATGAGGAAGCCGCGTTCATGGTCTGGGCGGGAAGAGGAGAGAATGAGATGGAGCATGAGGAGCAACCAGCATACATGGCATGGCGAGGAAGGGAGGAAATGGGGTTGCGCAGCGGAGGAAAGGATGCACGGAAGGAGCAGCGGAGAAAGGAGCGGGAGAGAGGACAGAAGCCGGAGGAGAAGGAGGAGAGATGCACAGCAGCACGGCACCCCCAGGAGAGATTGGCTTGTCAGACTTCCGTGCTGCTGATCCAAGGTGGTGCGCTGACAGTGGAAGGGGAGAAGGCTAAGACGGCCATTATAGATACTGGAGCGCAGAGCGTGATACTCGGAAAGGGGATGGCCGAGAAGCTGGGACTGTGGGCACCTGACAGGCATGTGGTGAAGGGGATGCTAGTGATGACAGCAGAGGGGGGAGAGTCGAAGTGGATGCCTTGTACGAGGACTCCAATAGAACTGACGGTGCTGAAGGGGGAGAAGCATGAGACGCCGGTTAGAATCAGGTGCGGGATCTCAGAGTCAGAAGATTTTGACGTCCTGGTGGGCACAGAGATGATCTTTGCATTGGGCATGACCATCTGCTTCTGGAAGGAGACAGTGGAGTTCAGAACCAGGTGGTGGAGGAAGGGTGAGCCACTGGGGCAGCTGCCGGTGCAGTTTGTCAGGACCGAGCCAAAAAGGGCCTACAGGGCAGATCTGAAGGAGGTGACAGCGAAGCAGGGGGCACAGAAGGCCGCAACAGGCAAGGGACAAGGTGGGGAGCCCAGGATGCGTTTCATGGATGAACCTAGCCAGCAGACCGATTGGCAGCAACCCATTCGGCTGGTGGAGCTGTTCGGAGGAATCGGGGCGGGACTGGCAGCAGTGGTGCGAAATGGAATTGCAGTGAAGCAGTGGATTTACGTGGAGAAAGCACCAGAAGTGAGGAAAATAGCGGAGCATCAGGCGTGGGAGTTGCACAGAGAGTTCCCGGAGCTGCTGCAGGGAGAGGTGATCAAGGCAGCAATGAGCAGAGGAATGAACGATGTAAGGGCCATTACGGAAGCTGAGGTAGCAAGCTGGGGGCACGTGGACCTGTTGGTGGCAGGGTGGGAATGCCAAGGGGTATCATGGGCAGGGAAGGGCAAGGGTGAGCAAGACCTACGAACACAGCTGATGGAGGACCTGTTCAGAGTCATGGAGTGGATGCAGGCGAGGCAAGGCAGAGTGGCTTACCTGCTGGAGCACTTGGATATGGAGGGAGACGTGAGAGAACCGATAAGACTAGTGAGGGAGAGAGTGACCAGACAGGTGGGGAAAGGAGTGAGCAGTGATGCGGCGCGGTTGGGAGCATATGCGCCCAGGCTCAGGATGTACTGGCAGAATGTGGTACCAGTAGAAGACTTGCAGAAGGAAATAGAAGGGGTGCAGAGAGCTGGGGGACGAAAGCTGAGCGACATATTGGAGCCAGGAAGAACGCCAGCACCAGTGACCAAGAAGGGCTACAGCAGGCATTATCCCTGCAACCAGGTGGGACAGGAAAGGCAGGCACTGCCTACCCTGGTGTCATATGAAGGGGCAGCAGGCTATCAGATGGATGGGAAGCAGCCAGGCCCAGGATTGGTGCATGACCACAGGAAGGGACAGTGGGAAGAGCCCACGGCCTTGGAGAGGGAGCTGGCCATGGGGTACAAGGAGAACGCGACAGCAGCCTCAGGCGTGAGCGAGAAGGAACGGAGACGGGCATTGGGGAATGCCATGGATGGGTACATGATGAGGTGGTTGGTGCAGCGGATGTGGAAGGAGACAGTGCTGCACTGGGGACTGAATGAGGGAGAAAACACAGTGGCAACGGTGAGGCACGGGGTGTGGGCCTGCCTGCAGAAACAGGAGCCAGAGTGGAAGATAGGTGAGAGCATGAGCGAAGAAGGGAAGGCAGCGATGCGGGCACTGCTGGCAAGGCATCGGAAGGGCTTCGCCTTCACACTGCTGGAGTTGGGAAGTGCAAGATCAAAGAGATGGCGCTGAAATTGAGTAGTGACGAGCCGGTGTTCCACCGCAGGAGGAAGATGCCACCAGGGGATGAAGTGATCTGCAGGGAGAAGATAAAGGAGTTACTGGAAGCCGGACTGATCAGGAGGTCAGAGTCAGAATACGCTACCCCAACCGTGGTGGCAGCCAGGAAGGACTTGACAGGCGAGGTGTTGAGTAGGAGGATGTGCGGGGACTACAGGGATCTCAACAAAATTACAGTGCCAGATAGATACCCAATGCCGATAGCGGAAGAGCTCTTTGACAAGCTGGCTGACGGGGTGTTCTTCACGACGCTGGACATGCGACAGGGGTTCAATCAAATCAAGATCAGAGAGGAGGATGTGAAGAAAACGGCTTTCCACGGACCGGATGGGCTGTACGAGTGGCTTAACATGCCCTTCGGTCTGAGGAACGCCTCGGCGGTGTTTCAGAGAGTCATGGACGCGGTGCTGCGGGGAATAGAACACGCGGCGTGCTATATTGATGATGTCGTGATCTTCAGCTTGACCGAACAGCAGCACCTGGAGGACGTGGAGAGGACCTTGACCGCCATAGAAGGGGCAGGGCTCACCTGCCATCCCAACAAGTGCAGGTGGGGGGAGCGGACAGTGCAGTATCTTGGGTATGAGGTCACAGGGGGGCAGATTGGTATCCAGCAAGCGAAGGTGCAAGTGCTGGACAGGCTGAGGGAACCAAGAGACAAGTCAGGGTTGCGTGCGGTCTTGGGCTTCCTCAGCTACTACAGGCGCTTCGTGCCGAACTTCAGCAAACGAGCGACAGTACTAAATGGGATGCTGCGGGAGGACAAGGCATGGGAGTGGGGAGAGGAGCAGAGACAGGCACTGCAAGACCTCATGACAGCCGTGAAGACAGCGACAGTGCTGCGGCTGCCAGCAGCGGACCAGCCCTTCATCCTCTACACAGACTGGAGCAGCCAAGGGATGGGGGCAATATTATGCCAGGAGGTGGAGGGAGTGGAGAAGGTGGTGGCCTACGCCAGCAGGAGCTGCAACCCGGCGGAAGCACAATATAGCTCATACATTGGGGAAGGGCTGGCGGCAGTGTGGGCGGTCGGGCATTTCCGGATATACCTGCAGGGCCGAGAATTCACCTTAGTCACTGACCATCAGCCACTCACCTGGCTGATGACTACACCAGGGCTGACAGGCAGGAACGCGCGGTGGGCGGTGAAGCTGCAGGAGTATGATTTCAAGATCAGGCACAGGCCGGGGAAGACGCTGCAGCACGTTGACGGCCTCTCCCGCAATCCACCGCCGCTGGAAATGAAACAGGCCACCCTGGGGACGGAAGAGACAGAGCAAGAGCCGGCACGGACCTTGATCTTACTGGCAAGAGAGGTGGAGCAGACGGGGGCGAAGGGGAGTAAGGGGCCAACCGACATCTGGTTGGATGCGAAGGCAATGCAATGGGTGAAGGGAGAAACCGAGGAGGATGAAACGGTGCCTGAGAGAGTAAGGGCACGAGGGCACCACTACAGGTGGTATCAGCAGCAGCTGCAGATTAAGACGGAGGATGGGTGGAAGCTGGTGCCAGCGCCCGAGGACCGTGAAGCAGTGATCAAGGAAGTGCACACCAAGATGGGGCACTTGGGGCACGAGAGGACCGTGCACCTGCTGAAGACGGGCTGGTGGTGGGAAGGGATGCGCAGGCAAGTAAAAGAGTGGGTGGAGGGGTGCGAGGCGTGTCAGAGGAGCAAAGCAAACCTGACGCAGGCCAAAGCAGAGCTGCACTCACTGCCAATCTGCGGACTAGGGTTCCGTTGGTCCCTGGACCTCGCGGGAGAGCTGCCACTGAGTCGAAGCGGGAATCAGTACATCGTGTTCATGGTGGAGCATGAGAGCAAGTGGCTGGAGGTGCGAGCGATCCCTAGCAAGAGCGCGAGGCACATTGCAACAGCCTTCAAAGCGCAAGTAGTGTGCCGATTTGGAGCATGCGGGGAGGTACTCACAGACCAGGGAACAGAGTTCCAGGGGGAGTTCAAGAAGCTGCTGGCGGAGACTGGCATCACGCACCGAAAGACCTCCCGCTACCACCCGCAGAGTGATGGGCTGACTGAGAGAGTCGTGCAAACCTTCAAGCGGGGGCTGCGGGCCTACGGGGAGCAGAGGAAGAGGGATTGGGATGAGGAGTTGGACTGGATCGCGGCTGGGTACAGGTTCGGGAAGCAGGCAGCGTTGAAGGATCACTCCCCGTATAGCCTGCTGTTCGGACGAGAGCCGATTCTGCCAGTGGGAGCACCACGAGTATTGACAGATACAGTGACAGCGGGCACGATCAGGAACTGGGTAGCCCTGTCCGAGGTGAGGGCGCGCTACATGCGCTACATGATGCCAGCCGCGTTGGAGAATCTGCACACCGCGCAGCTCAGGGACGCAAGAAGATACGAACAGAGGCAACACAAAGGGGAGGGAAGAATGGCAAAGGATGTCTGCGAAGGACAGGAAGTCTATCTGAAGAGGGCTAAGCAGGACACCCTTGACGTGGGGTTGGGGACCATCCGCTGGAAAGTCAAGGAGGTACGCCCCTCAGGGGTGCTGGTCTTGGAAAACGACACCGGAGCGCAGCTGAGGGAACATCAGACGAACACTGCAGTGATCAGAGGGACCGGGCCTCAGCGTACTGGTCCTGTGACCCGCGCTGAAGCCGCTCGAGCACGGGCACAGGAGGGGGCAGAGAGTGGCTGAGGCAACCGAAGGAGCTAAGGGACGAAGAGCATGAGGACTAAGGCAGATGATGAGGGTAGAGCTGTATCTCCGACAGCTGTCACCGAATATGCACGGTTGTGCATATAAGGTGCCAGAATCATGGTGGTGTAGTGGAGGTGTAGCTATGTTGTGTTTGCAAATTCGAGGATAGGTAGGTGGGAGCTGGGAAATTGACGCGAAGTTGGTAGGAGAGCACCTTGGGTGAAAACCTTGCAACCAATGAGAACGAACCAACCCAGGCTCGAGCCGCACATTGAGAAATGCACGGTTCGAGCCAGGGTCAGGTAAGTTCACTCTCTCACACACCTCTGATGCTTTCTGGTTGTTATCCTTTCGTATAGTGGACTATTGTCACCTTACCAGAGCAGGCAGGTGGCACATCACTCAGGGAGGACCTTAGAGGTGAGAGTTCTGACCTTAGAGGTGAGAGTTCTGACCTTAGAGGTGAGAGTTCTGACCTTAGAGGTGAGAGTTCTGACCTTAGAGGTGAGAGTTCTGACCTTAGAGGTGAGAGTTCTGACCTTAGAGGTGAGAGTTCTGACCTTAGAGGTGAGAGTTCTGACCTTAGAGGTGAGAGTTCTGACCTTAGAGGTGAGAGTTCTGACCTTAGAGGTGAGAGTGGCTGAGGCAACCGAAGGAGCTAAGGGACGAAGAGCATGAGGACTAAGGCAGATGATGAGGGTAGAGCTGTATCTCCGACACTGGCCTCCTGCTCTTCTTCCCCTGGCCTCCTGCTCTTCTTCCCCTGGCCTCCTGCTCTTCTTCCCCTGGCCTCCTGCTCTTCTTCCCCTGGCCTCCTGCTCTTCTTCCCCTGGCCTCCTGCTCTTCTTCCCCTGGCCTCCTGCTCTTCTTCCCCTGGCCTCCTGCTCTTCTTCCCCTGGCCTCCTGCTCTTCTTCCCCTGGCCTCCTGCTCTTCTTCCCCTGGCCTCCTGCTCTTCTTCCCCTGGCCTCCTGCTCTTCTTCCCCTGGCCTCCTGCTCTTCTTCCCCTGGCCTCCTGCTCTTCTTCCCCTGGCCTCCTGCTCTTCTTCCCCTGGCCTCCTGCTCTTCTTCCCCTGGCCTCCTGCTCTTCTTCCCCTGGCCTCCTGCTCTTCTTCCCCTGGCCTCCTGCTCTTCTTCCCCTGGCCTCCTGCTCTTCTTCCCCTGGCCTCCTGCTCTTCTTCCCCTGGCCTCCTGCTCTTCTTCCCCTGGCCTCCTGCTCTTCTTCCCCTGGCCTCCTGCTCTTCTTCCCCTGGCCTCCTGCTCTTCTTCCCCTGGCCTCCTGCTCTTCTTCCCCTGGCCTCCTGCTCTTCTTCCCCTGGCCTCCTGCTCTTCTTCCCCTGGCCTCCTGCTCTTCTTCCCCTGGCCTCCTGCTCTTCTTCCCCTGGCCTCCTGCTCTTCTTCCCCTGGCCTCCTGCTCTTCTTCCCCTGGCCTCCTGCTCTTCTTCCCCTGGCCTCCTGCTCTTCTTCCCCTGGCGTCCTGCTCTTCTTCCCCGCCTCCTGCTCTTCTTCCCCGCCTCCTGCTCTTCTTCCCCGCCTCCTGCTCTTCTTCCCCGCCTCCTGCTCTTCTTCCCCGCCTCCTGCTCTTCTTCCCCGCCTGCGGCTCTTCTTCCCCTGGCCTCCTGCTCTTCTTCCCCTGGCCTCCTGCCCTGCAGAGTTCAGAAGCTGGTGCCGGCATTGCTGGTTGGTTGGAGCAGGCACCGGGGTGAAAGAGCGGCTCTCCTAGATGCTTGACTTGAACCATCACACAGCCACCTATTGTAAGCTCCTTGCTACTCTCGGCCTTTCTGTTCTCGCGCAGATCCTCTGTCTGGTGCAGGCGCTGGTGATCGGAGCAAGTGCCGGAGTGAAAGGATGGCAAAGGCACCATCATCACAGCCTATCCCTTGTGCTTCCCTTGTGCTTCCCTTGCTTCCCCTCCTTCCTTCATCTCTTCCCTCCCTTCCCCTGCAGATTCACTGTCTGCAGCATCTGGTGCAGGCGCTGGTGATCGGAGCAAGCGCGGGAGTGAAAGATGTGTTATTTTTTCTAGACGGTTGGCCATTCCCTTCAGCTTCTTTTCCTTCCCCTCCTTCTTTCCTTCACTTCCTACCTCCCTTCCCTGCAGATTCACTGCCTACAGCACTTGGTGCAGGCGCTGGTGATCGGGGCAAGCGCGGGAGTGAAAGGGGGTTTTTTCGGTCCAGAGAAGAGCAAGCAGGGGGGCAAGGAGGAGGGGGGGAAGAGTCGCAGCAAGGGCAGAGACAGGGAGGTGTCAGCCAGTGAAATCAAGGAGTTGGATAACTTCTTGCAGCGCCTGCTCTTCTTCCCACACTTGCTTGATTACCCAAGTACGTTGGTTGGTTGGCTTACTAGCCTTGCAACATGTGGCATCCGTGGGTTTTGAGGTGTCTCAAGTAAGGAGGGACAGGGAGGTATCATCTCCTCGACTACCCAAGTATGCAATCCTTGCAACAGGTATGTGGTTCTGAGGCGTCTCAAGAGGGACAGGGAGGTATCAGCGAGTGAGATCAAGGAGCTGGATAACTTCCTGCAGCGCCTGCTCTTCTTCCCGCACCTACTCGACTACCCCAGTACGTTGGCTGGTTGGTACAAGATTCTTTCTGCTTGTGGTATTCATGCATTTTGAGACGTCTCAGGAGGGACAGGGAAGTGTCGGCCAATGAGATGAAGGGGCTGGAAAGCTTCCTGCAGAGCTCCTGATCACTCTGTTGTGACCTGAACTTGCAGCAGCAGGCGGCATTCATTCCTTCATACAATTGCAGGAGTCTTTTCAGTGGTGTGGGTCACATCAGTGGTGTGGGTCACATCAGTGGTGTGGGTCACATCAGTGGTGTGGGTCACATCAGTGGTGTGGGTCACATCAGTGGTGTGGGTCACATCAGTGGTGTGGAGAAAGACGCGTCCTTCGTCTAGGACGCTTGGATCCAGACGCAGCGTCTTAGACGCAGGACGCTAGATGAGGGCCTTTAGGACGCATGAAAAGACGCATGCCCGGGCAGGGCCAAAAAAACCCCCGGGCAGCTGAAAAAAAAGTTGTAGGGCTTGGGAAGGGGGGTGGGGGAGACCTTTGCACACATTCAAAGGATGGTTGGAGGAAGCCATTACGAAGGAGAATTGGGGTTGTGAATGGAGGGAGCACAAATGAGATGTGTGCAACCCTAAATGGGTTTGGTTGGAGGCCACAAAGGCTGGATGTTCTAGATGTAGAGTAGTTGGGTGGGTTGGGTTGGGGGCTTTACAAATTTGTGTTGAGGGGTTTGAAGTTGGGGGGGGGGGGGGGGGGGGGGGGGCTGTTTTCAATGTCGAGTTGCTTTTGGGGGGTCGTTTTTTCACGAAATTGACATTCGCGTCGAATTCGTGAATGTCAATTTCGCGTTTCGGGATTTTCCGGGGCAGACCGAAACAAAAAACAGGGTGCGTCCTGCGTCTGGACGCGCGTCCTGCGTCTCTGCGTCCGGACGCTGCGTCCAGACGCAGGACGCAGCAGGACTCGCGCGTCTTTCTCCACTAAGCTTCTCTCCTTTGAAAACCTGCCCCTCCATTCAAGTTCTCTCTCTTTCTACTCCTGCTGCCTTCGTCCCCTTTACAAGACGCCTTGCTGCAGGTTACAGACCTCTCCTTCCTGTGGCTGCGGGAGTCGTTTCTAGACCCAGCAGCAACGGCACAGGTCCCTCTCTCGGCCAGCCTCCCGTGGGTGCTCACTCTCTCCGCTCTCCAACACACCACCAATAGCACCAATAGCAGCAGCAGCGGTGGTGGCAGTGGTAGTAGCAGCAGCAGTGTGACTGTTGATTCTGCTACGGGAGAAGCGAGCTCTGCAGATGGCGGCAGTGCTGCTGGGGCTGGGGATTCTGCTGCTACTGCTGCTGCTACCACTGCTGGTGCTTCTACTGCTGCTGCTGGTGCTGCTGGTGCTGCTGGTGGTGCTGCTGGTGGTGCTGCTGCTGGTGCTGCTGGTGCTGCTGGTGCTGCTGGTGGTGCTGGTGGTGCTGCTGCTGCTGCTGGTGCTGGTGGTGCTGCTGCTGCTGGTGGTGCTGCTGCTGGTGCTGCTGGTGGTGCTGCTGGTGGTGCTGGCGTGACGGGGACCCCGTGGGCGCCATTGCTACCAGACGCAGTGCTGCTGCCGTTCACCATCTATGACGATGCAGCTGATGCGGCTCTTCGGTCGCTCAAGAGGCAGTTCCTCTTTGATGAGGTGGAGGCGGAGGTGAGAGAGAAGCAAGGTGTGTGAGTGCAATGATTCGATATGTATGCTGCTGGTGGTCTTGGCTGTGTGACGGGCGTCCCGTGGGCGCCATCGTAACCCCACAACGTCTGCTGCCTTTCCCCATCTACGATGATGCGGCTGATGCGGCTCTTCGGTCGCTCAAGAGGCAGTTCCTCTTTGACGAGATGGAGGCAGAGGTGAGAATGGGAGGGAAAGGGTGATGAGGGCTGGGGGTGCTGTTGGTGGTGCTGCCGGTGGTGTGACAGGGCACTCTTGGGCATCGCTACCAGATGCAGTGCTGCTGCCGTTCTCCTTTTATGATGATGTAGTTCATGTGGCTCTTCGGTCGCTCAAGAGGCAGTTCCTCTTTTATGAGGTGGAGGCGGAGGTGAGGACGAAAGGCAAGAGGTGTGGGGGCAGTAAATTGCACTATGTCTCTTGCACAATGCGTATCCCATGCTCTCCTCTGCCCCAAAAGGCATCCTATGCTCTCTCCTTCTCAACCTCATATTGGCTTCCGATGACCATCCCACATGCTCCATCCATCCCATCCCACCCACCCATCTATCACATCAGGTGGGAGTGGCATTCGACCAGCTGCTGGAAAAGCTGGCACTGGCCATCTTCACCCACTTCAAGCAGTGTGCCGCCAGGTGAGTCAGTCAGGGACTACCGGGTGACTTAGGGTCTGAAGAGAATGGGCACGGTCATGATCAGAACTCTTGAGTCGAGACGTCTCATGACATTTCCACCCACTGAGTGAGTCAGGGGCAGCGAGGGAAAGGATGTAGCCCCGGTTGAAAGTTGAATCCTGAGCAACTTGGTTTGGTGAAGGTGCCATGTGATGCAGACAAGACAGATACAGAGCATGCCTCCACCTTGTATGTAACAGTGTATGTTTTTTTAGAATTCTCAAAAAACATACACTGTGTTGCAGACAAGATACAGAACATGCCTCCACCTTGTATGTAACCGACTCAGCTGTTCCTTTCGGCACCTTTCTCCTTGGGTGTGGGAGGGTCGGTTGCACATCCGCTTGCTCCTGCCCTTCTTTGCTTCCCGCACCCTTTCCTTGCAGCAAGCTGCTGGACAAGTCGTTTGTGGCGGCAGCAGCAGCCCTGGGCGTGGGAGGGTCCGTGACACTCCGGTTTCCTCCTTCCCTCCTTGCTTCACATCCCCCCATCCCCCACCCAACGGTGCCGTTCCTCCTTGCTTCTCCATCATGCAGCAAGCTGCTGGACAAGTCGTTTGTGGCGGCAGCGGCAGCGCTGGGCGTGGGAGGGACGTACAGCGTGACTCCATGCAGCTACAGCGGGCTGTTGCGCCAAACGCACCTGCAGGTGGGTGGGGTGGCTTTGGGGTCGACTCAAGGGTTAACCTCGAACTGGGTCAGCCAGTGTCGTGTCGTGTCGCCCCCTTGCAACCAACCCACGTGCCCAGTCTATCTTGAAGCGCAGCCCGGCATGAGCCTGTCTCGGCCAGGTTTGATGTGTGCCCATGGCCAGTGTAGTGTCAGATGGACACGTTGGATGCCAGAATTCTGAACATGTTGTGTCACTCATTTGAAATTCGCTGGGTTCAAAACGCAGCAAGCCTACTAAGAGTAACGATCTGTAGTACTAGTATACTAATATGAAAATCGAGGGAAGTAGTGAGAAAAGGTCTACTAATCAGAAAGCCAGACACATAGGCCCGGATGCGCGTGCGAACGCGGCCAGTGTAGTGTCAAATGGACACGTTGGATGCCAGAATTCTGGACATGTTGTGTCACTCATCTCTCCTCTCCGCACTTCATCCCCCGCTGTCCCCACTCGCCCCACCCATCCCATCCTCCCGTTGCTGCACAGCTATTGGGCCGCACTGTGGACATGCGGGACCTGCTGACTCAGCGGCTGAACAAGCTGACGAGGCACAACCTGGATTATATCCTTGCCCGCATGGAGGGGGCAGATCTCTGCCACATCATGGTGAGTGTGTGACGTGGCTCATGTGTGTGTGTGTGGCTGTTTTGATGTCGAGAGGTGTCGAATTTCACATGGCAACTTGTGTGTCGTGTGTGTGAGATTTGAGCCGGCCCAATATTTACGTCAATTCTGGGGTTGTATGTGTGTATGCGGTGTGTGTAACGGCGTCGTTGGGACTGCGAATCATGTGCTTGTGCGTTTGATCATGTATCGTTTGACTGCAACATCTGGTTCACTGGCCGCATTCTCCCGTTTGATGAGTCGATTTTTGAGTCGACTCAAAAATCGACTCATCTGATTCACTGACCGCATTCTCCCGTTTGAGAATTCTCTGAAGTGAGCAGCACTTCTGCATCCCAGTAGGATCCTATGCGGAAAGATCAGATCTGAGCCGTTTTTCACATCAAATCAAGGTGCAGGTAGGGAACGGAACACCTCACGAGCTCGTATGGTAGGGATTGCCTCACAAGCTTTCCTACTCGCTTTGTACTCTTTCTGTTTACCTCCACCCCTGCCTGCAGGAGACGCATCACCTGCTGGACGTCCTACGTGGCGCACACCGATTGGTCGCAGAGCACTGCCCTGCCATTGACTCCTTTGAAGCCATTTTCACCGAGGCCACCCACGCCACCTCCCTCTCCTCACTCTCTTCCCGCACTGCCGCTTATGTAAGTGCCATTCCAATCCAATATCACCACCCACGCCAATATCACCGAGGCCACCCACGCCACCTCCCTTTCCTCTCTCTCCTCCCGCACCGCCTCCTATGTAAGTGGCCTATACAACGGCCTTTCTAAGCATTCCCAACGCGTTTCCAGCACTGCCCTTCCAGGGTCATGCCCCCTCTCATCAACTCCTTTGAGGTCATCTCGCCCTCACCCACCCACGCTACGTCCCTCTCCTCGCTCTCCTCCCGCACTGCCGCTTATGTAAGTGGCAGGCATTGGCATCATGACACGGCCCTTTTCAGCACTCCCATAGCACTTCCATCACCACTGCTAGCCGAGTCCACTCTCATCCACTCCTTTGAACCCATCTCCACCGGCCAAGGCCACCCACGCCACCTCCCTCTCTCCTCCCTCTCCTCCCGAATGGGGTTTGAGTGCGCTGTTTCTAGCCCCCCATCGCCTTTCCGGCACTGCTCTTCCATAGCCTAGCTCCCTCTTATAAACTCGTTGAAGTTGTTTTCACTGAGGCCGCCCATGCCACCTCCCTCTCTTCCATTCCATCTCCTTCCGTGCTGCCCACTATGTTTGAGGGCTTTGATTTTACACTTTCTTGCACTGCCGTTCCGTAGCCTAGTGGCTAGCCCCCTACAATTGACCCTTGCCCTCACCTTTCGCTCCTTTCCCTCCTCGTCTTCCTGTTTCCCGGCTTTCAAATGTTTCCCATCTTTCGCGCGTCATTTTGACTTTTGAGTCGACTCAAAAGTCTCTCCCTCCTGTTTCTCGGCTTTCACATATGTTTCCCATCTTTCACATGTTTCCCATCTTTCACATGTTTCCCATCTTTCACGTGTTTCCCAACTTTCACATGTTTCCCAACTTTCACGTGTTTCCCAACTTTCACATGTTTCCCATCTTTCGCGCGTCATTTTGTTTGCGAAATCCATTGACCTGCAAGGTCTTATTCACGCCTCTCAACCGAATCACCCCCCATTCTCGCACACTCGGTCCACAGGTGTGCAGAGAGGTGGAGCAGGATGTGCTTCCCAACTTCCTCTGGAACTCCACCACCCGCCGCTTTGTGTGGGTCGCCTCCCCGCTGCACCTGCAGCAGCGCCCCGTGCAAAGACCTGCAGTTCACCTGCCTTCTCCAGAGGTGTATGAAGCCTTCATGTTTGGAAACAAGGTGCGGTGAGAGAGATGCCACTGGACGCGTGCCTTGTGTTGATTAAAACAGCGCCCCATGCGGAGACCTGCAGTTCACCCGCCTGCTCCACAGGCGTACGAAGCCTTCATGTTTGGAAACAAGGTGCGGTGAGAGTTATGTGCTTCTCTTCTCCAGTGGCGGTGCTGTGCATGCTGCATGGCACATGCCTTCATCACTCACACGTGCCACATGCTGCATGGCACATGCCTTCATCACTCACACGTGCCACATGCTGCATGGCACATGCCTTCATCACTCACACGTGCCACATGCTGCATGGCACATGCCTTCATCACTCACACGTGCCACATGCTGCATGGCACATGCCTTCATCACTCACACGTGCCACATGCTGCATGGCACATGCCTTCATCACTCACACGTGCCACATGCTGCATCGCAGCTCCTGGCATGCCATTGTGTGCTGTTTCCTTGATGTATGTCATTGAATTGCGTGCTTGGAGGTCGTTCCAGAACTCATCGAATGCGGTTAAAATCGATGCCAATGAGTGCCGGTCGTCCCTATGCCTTCTTATGCCAATGCATGCTATGTTTTGCCCGCACGCGCCACGACTCGATCGATGCAGACTCTCACATCTTCCTGCTGCACTCACAATCCCTAAGCTGGGCACACGTGTGGATGCTCTAGTGCCTCTGAGTTGACTCACGAATGAACACTCATACCAATAGTTGTAACTTGTTCCTGCATGTCCTTCCTCCCCCTTCCACACCAGGATCTCAGCAAGACCTACTCGCACATTTGCCTGTTGAACTCGCAATTTCTGGGGCAGCCGCACGTGCATGCTCTGGTGGCGCTGCTGGGCCCGCACTCCCATTGTCTGTAAACGACCCCCTGGCCCCCCCACCCCACCGACACCAGGATCTGAATGAGGCCTATGCGCACATCTGTGTGCTGCACGCGCAGTTCATAGGGCAGCCGCATGTAGATGCTGTGGTGGCACTGCTGGGCCCGCACTCTCTGCCCATGCTGCTGCAGTTCTGCCTTGACTCCCTCTCCCACAAGGTATGTGGTGCTGACTATAGGTTGCTCTCAGTGGATTGCGCACATCTGTATGCTGCACGCGCAGTTCCTGGGGCAGCCGCACGTGCATGCTCTGGTGGCGCTGCTGGGCCCGCACTCCCTGCCCATGCTGCTGCAGTTCTGCCTTGACTCCCTCTCCCACAAGGTGCGTGGCTCTGCGTACGGTTTGCTTGCAGCAGGGTGCTCACGTGTGCCGAAGAACCATAGGATACTCTCACGAGTACGCATGCAATCTCACTCACCCCTAGGGTCGCACTCCCTCCTAGTTGACTTTTGAGTCGACTCAAAAGTCAACTCGCTTGCAGCAGGGTGCTCACGTGTGCCGAAGAACCATAGGATACTCTCACGAGTACGCATGCAATCTCACTCACCCCTAGGGTCGCACTCCCTCCTAGTTGACTTTTGAGTCGACTCAAAGGTCAACTTGCTTGCAGCAGGGTGCTCACGTGTGTCGAAGAACCATAGGATACTCTCACGAGTATGCATGCAATCTCACTCACCCCTAGGGTCGCACTCCCTCCTATTGCTGCTGCAGTTCTGCCTAAGCTCCCTCATCCCCAGGAATTGTGCGTGCGTGCCGTGCATGTTGGCGTGCGTGCGTGCGTGTGCAACTACTGCTACGCTAGTTCTGCTACATGTACTGAATCCCTTCCCATGCTTAGTCCAGTTCTGCCTTGTCGCTCTCACCCGTAAGGCGTGTTGCTTGGGCTTTGGATTGCTGATCAACTTCTTGTGTTATCGACAAGCCTGATGTGTTGTGACATGACTTGCGTTGACCTCTCGTTTCCGTCCCCTGTGTATTGACTTTCACTCACGCTGCCATTTGATAGAATTGGAACTGAACTGATTGATTGATAAGGAAGGCACTAGGCCTTAAGTACAAACATGGTTGGGTTGAGCATAGTTAAGGAAAGGATGGGATGGGAATCCTAGCAAATCTCCAATTGGTGAGTTGGCAGATTTGCAGGATTACGAGGGAATCCCAACCAGATAGGGTTGGGATTACAAATCTACACCCAACCTACAAAGTAACCTAACCGATATAGAATATAGTACAAAGTGTTGACTGACTATTTCCAACACACCCCCTAGGGTGACAACACTTCAGCCACATGGTGGCCCAACACCCATGGACGAGAGGAGGCGGTAGTGGTCTTGGCGAACAAGAGACTTGGTAAACAAGTCAGTAAGGTTGCAGTCGGAGGCGATGTGTTCAGCCTTCAGCAGCTCGCGCTGCACCAGCTCACGAAGAAAGTAGTGACGGAACTCAATGTGCTTGGTGCGGCCGTGGAAGACGGCGTCCTATGTGACATGAATGGTGCTTCCGTTGTCACACCAAAGCGTTGGGGCTGGTTGAGGATACCCAAGTTCTGCTAGTAAGGAGAGCCAACGGGCCTCCTGGGCAGTCATGGTCCCGGCATACAACTCTGCCTCACAGGTTGACAGTGAGACGGAGGACGACCGAGTGGAGCGCCAACTGACAACCCCACTGCCAAGGGTAAAGCAATATCCTTGGGAAGAGCGCTGATCACTCTGGTCATCAGCATAGGACGAGTCACTGTACCCCTCAAGGCGAACAGGGGAAGAGCCGCCAAGAGTGAGCACATAGTCCTGTGTGCCTTGGAGATAGCGGAGGACCCGCTTGGCGGCAGACCAGTGGTGGCTCGTGAAGCGACCAGGTGCAGCGTAGTGAGACAGGACACTGACTGGATAGGCCAAGTCTGGTCGAGTGCACATCAACGCGTACATGAGGGAACCGACGAGCTCGGGGTAAGCCTCATCACAGGGCTCAGGTGAGGGAACAGAGGGTGCAGTGAGTTGGTGTTGCAGAGAGAGTGGGGTGGGCATTGAAGCTACTTCCTGCATCTTGAACCTGGTCAGAACATTGTTGATGTAGAACTTCTTTGAGAGGGTGATGGTGCAGACCGTGCGATCACGTGTGATTTCCATGCCTAGATAGTTCGTCAGCTTCCCAAGATCCTTCATGGCCAGCTTCTCACCAAGTGCAGTTTTGACTGCTGCCAGCTCAGTCTGATTCTTGGTGACAAGGATCATGTCATCGACATAAACCAAGATGAAGAAGCAGGATGGTGTTTCTCGGATGAAAAGGCTGGGGTCAGAGGTGGATGGGTGAAAGTCGAGGGACCCTAAGGTGCTCTTGAGCTTGTTGTGCCATTCCCGGGGTGCTTGCTTGAGGCCATAGACTGGTCGATTCAGCTTCCATACAGTGCCTGGTGTAAAGGGAGCTGGAAATCCTTCGGGCCGCTCCATGTAGATTTCCTCTCGAAGGATCCCTTGCAGAAATGCAGAGGACACATCCATGCAGTCAACCTCCATGTCATCTCGAGCGGCAACATCGAGAAGGGTGCGCAGTGTGGGAGGTTTGGTGGTGGGAGAGAATGTCTCAAAGAATTCCAGTCCATGCTTTTGGGTAAATCCCTTGGCACAGTACCGGGCTTTGAAGACGGGAAATTCGCCTGGAAGTTGTTTCACCCGGAAAAATCATTTTCCCTTCACAATGTTGACGCCGTAGGGAGCAAAGACATCTATGAAAGTTCCTGTGTGAATGAAGGCCTCACACTCTGCGACAATGGCCCCTAGCCACTGAGCGGCGTGAGGACCAGAAACTGCTTCAGCATAGGTGAGAGGTGTGGGGATAGAGGGGTTGTCCGAGAAAGTTGAGGGTGGGAGATTCTGCGATATCTGGAGAGAGGGAGCAGAGTGCGTGTATGGCTGAGTCAATCTCAATCAACTCCTCATGTCTGTCCTCAAGAAGGGAGGGCATGAGCGAATAATCACCCCCGACAGGAGGAGGATTGAGAGAGACACGAATGGAAAGGGAAAGAGGCTTGGGAGCTTTGTGCGAGCGGGTGCGACTAGCGATGGGGGAGGGAGGCGGAGCTGGAGGAGGAGAAACAGCAGGTGTAGTGGCAGCATCAGGAACAGCAGGTGGATCAGGAGGAGGAGCCAGATCAGGAGGAGGAGGAGCAGCAGGAGGTTGGCGGTGGTAGGTTTTGAGAGGAAAGGGCTCGGGGGCACGAAGGAGCAGGGGAGACTGCGTGGTGCTGGATGGGGAAGCGGGTGACGGGGGGTCGGAAACTGTGGAGGGAGCGGGAAGAGGAGGAGATGGAGTGGTGGCAGGAGGAAGTCTGTCAAAGTCAGCCCAAGTAAGAGGGGGAGGCAAAGGAGAAGGAGAAACTGTGGAGGAGGGGTAGAATGGGTGGGATTAATCGAAGAAAACATCTCGGCTGCGATAGAGTTTGTTGGTGGGAGGATGGAGGAAGAGGTAGTCTGGCGAGTCCGAGTTGTGCCCGAGGTATACGCACGTGATTGTTTTCGGAGCAAGTTTGCCGCCAGCTGCACGACGGGTTTGGGAGTTGAGGAGGACATAGGAAGTGCACCCCCATACACGAAGAGGGCGGACGGACGGCTTTTGACCCGTCCATAGCTCTGCGGGGGTGGTGTGGGTGTGGTGAGGATGAGGATGGAGATTGTGGAGGGCAGCAACATGGAGCATGGCGTATCCCCAAAGAGAGGGAGGGGCGGAAGCATGAGTGAGGAGGCAGCGAGCAATCTGCACCAGGATGCGGTTTTGGCTCTCAGCAACACCGTTCTGTTGAGGGCTGTCTGGGAGAGTGAAGGTCTGACGAATACCCTCAGTAGAGCAGAAAGATTTGAGAGTGTTGTTGCGGAATTCACCGCCACCGTCAGAGTGAAGAATCTTGATTTTGGTTTTGAAGTGTGAATGAGCCTGCGTGGCCCATTCCATGATGATGGCTGGGGCTTCAGACTTGGCGGTGAGAAGGTGAACGGACACATAGCGGGAATAGTCATCAACGATGACAAGGAAGTAGAAGTGTCCACCACGGGAACGAACAGGAGCTGGACCCCAAAGGTCCATGTGTACGCGATCGAGAGGTGCGGTAGAGATGGACTCAGTGGGAGGATGGGGCTGTTCCTGAAGCTTGCTCTATACACAATCAAGGCAAGGTGGTCCAGAAAGAGAGGGGGGTTGTGGAAGTGAGGCGGGCAGCCCATGAAGGAGTTGTTTGGTGGCAAGGTCTGAAAGTGCGCGGAAGTTGATGTGGCCGAGGCGGTTATGAAATAGCATAGTCTTGTCAGTGAGGAGGCGGCAGTGACACGAGGGGGAGTCAGAGGATGGAAGTAGAAGGTCCGTGAGGGAGCATGTTTGAACGGGAGGTACAACTAGTGTGTAGAGGTTGTTGGAGTTGAGGGTGAAGCGGGCAAGATGGAGTTCGGTTTTGGCGTCAAACATGTCACAGTAGTCAACATCATTGGGAAAGATGGTGATCACGCCTGCGTGTTGGATTTCCCGCTGTGCAAGAAGGTTGTAGCGGAGGGCTGGGGCACAGATGCCAGTAACTGTGCCGGATGGGAAAGCTGGACAGGAGACTGTGGAGGACCCATGGCATTGGATGGAGAAGCTAGAATCGGCTCCATGGAGTGAGGTGGGAGCCTGGTAGGGAACGAAGGCAGTTTGGTCTTTAAGCACTGTGTGGGTGGCACCACTGTCTAGTATGAACTCGATTCCCTGTGTGGTTGAAACACCGATGTACTGCGACCCCTTCTCATTAATAAGAGCAGCACCAGAGAACAACAGGTTAAGGCGAACATCAGATGGGGCACTAGCAAATGCCTGAGCAGGTTCCTCCACTACCTCGACCTGGTTCATGCGACGGGGTGGTGCCCAGTTGCGAGGGCGCTTGTCCTTGGAGACATCGTGGACGTCATACCACTCGTCATCTCGCTTCTTGAAGCAAGTTGTCTTAGGGTGGTTGGTGCCGTTGCATTTCTGCCCCGCACGAAGACCCTTCGTAATGAGGTACTGGCATGGGGGAAAGGAGTTGCGCCTCTGGCCCTGCTGGGAACGAAATGGGATGCCAGGGGATAGCGCACAGCATTGACGGATGCCCGGGCTGCAAGGTCCTTGTCGGCGGAGAGAAGGGCCGAAGCGACTTTCTCAAAGGTGAGTTCCTTGGTGGGGAGCTGCTTGAGCATGGAACTGGTGACGTTGTAGGCCGGGGTGAGTCCGACGAGAAGCCCAGCAGCAAGTGCCTGTTCGAGGTCCTTGAGCTCCTCATGGATGTTGCGGATTTCAAAGATGTAGTCTGCCATGTCCGGGCATTCCCCAAGACGGATTTGGAACATGCGAGGAATGAGGATTGCAACTCCCACGGCAGTTTTGTCATGAAAACGATCCTGGAGGTACTTCCAAATGTCATGCGCAGAGCGGAAGGTGCAGTAGGACTTGACTAACTCAACTGGGGTAGTGGTGATGAAAACCCTAATCACTGCCGCATCCGCCTGCTCCCAGAGACTGAAGTCCGTCGCATACTTGGTGTCTTAGCGTCGAAAGCAAGCTTGGCTGTGGCAGTGGCGCTTTCGCCGAGAGAATCGGGAGGGAGAGGCATCTTCCCCTTGCCGCGGTTGAGGAGGATGTCCTTGAGGCAAATCCTCTTGAGCTCCGAGCTAAGGAGGTGATTTTCCACTCCATAGCACCACTCCCCGAAATTGGTGCTTGTGCCGTTGGGAGCGAGGTTAAGGATGATGAGGTTTCCGATGAGAGTGGAAGTTGAAGTCGCCATTTTTGCGCGGAGCGCAGCGCTAAAGTCTCCGATACGTAGCGGAGCGGAGTTCGGGTGACCAACTTCTTGTGTTATCGACAAGCCTGATGTGCTTTGACTTGACTTGCGTTGACCTCTCGTTTCCGTCCCCTGTGTGTTGACTTTGACTCACACTGCCTTTGACTTGCGTTGACTTTGACTTGCCTTCACCTTCCCACCTCGCAGGTCTCTCACCAGTTGTCACCTCTAGCTGCCCAGCTGCTGCCCCTCTTGCCTGTTGAAGACCTTCAGACTCCCTTTGAATCTGGCCTTCCAGGTAGGTTGACTTGCGTGACCTTGCACTCCCAGGTTGACTTGCTTTGACCTTGCCCTCCCAGGTTGGTTGACTCGCATTGACCTTTCCCTTCACTCTTCGCACCCTCCTCTCCATTTGCTTTTCACATAAACCCAGCACCTTAAACTCTAAAACTCCTTTCCCCCCATCTCGAATCTATCACCAGCCTGTGTGGAGCGCATATCATGTGCAGCATCGGCACTGCAGCGCAGAGCAGCAGCGGCAGTGGAGGGGGTGATGGCTGCGCTGAGGGACATGGGATCACTGCTGGGGCTGCTGGCGCTGCTCGACGTTTCCATTGTAAGGGGGGGGGATCGGGATAGGGAATGGTGAATAGTGATTACATTGTGTGAGGAGGGGAATGGAGTGGAGTGGTGATTACATTGTGTGAGGAGGGGAATGGAGTGGAGTGGTGATTACATTGTGTGAGGAGTGGAATGGAGTGGAGTGGTGATTACATTGTGTGAGGAGTGGAATGGAGTGGAGTGGTGATTACATTGTGTGAGGAGTGGAATGGAGTGGAGTGGTGATTACATTGTGTGAGGAGTGGAATGGAGTGGAGTGGTGATTACATTTCGTGGCCAGTGGGGGGAGTGATTTGCTCCACTGCAAGACGTGGGGTCGCGGCTGGGGCTGCTGGGGCTGCTGGGGCTGCTGGGGCTGCTGGGGCTGCTGGGGCTGCTGGGGCTGCTGGAGCTGCTGGGGCTGCTGGGGCTGCTGGGGCTGCTGGCGCTGCTGGCGCTGCTGACACTGCTCGACGTTTCCATTGTAAGGCGCAGGTTGGGGAATTGGGCATCGCATCATGAGCGGACGGTGTGGTGAATGCATTGTGCGGAGCGGAGTGGGATGTGTGTTTCCTTCTGGGGTTGTTGGTGCTGCTCGGCATCGTCTCCATTGCAAGGCACGTTGCGTTATGGTTGATTGAGGTCGGGGAATGGTGAATGCATCGTGTGAGAAGTGGAATGAAAGGTGATTGATTACATGGTGTGAGCAGTGCAGCGGTTGACTGCTGCACTTCCCCAGACTCAACCCGTCCAGCCAGCCTTCCCTTGTGCCCTCAATTCCTTTTACCCTCCCTCTCCTCTCCTCCTCTCCCCACCCTTCTCCCCCTGTCAGGCGCATGCATCCACACTGCAGTTCATCCAGGCAGCGCCATGGCTGGGCCTCATGCCTTGCCCCAACCACAGCCATCTGCTGCAACTTCTCAGAATCAACCCCTCTGACCTGCTCTGTCGCCCCTCCTGCCCCTATTCCCTTCTCTTTTCCCACCATTCCCCAACCCTCCCCTCTTACTCCCCATGCCAGGCACATGCATCCACGCTGCAGTTCATCCAGGCAGCGCCATGGCTGGGCCTCGTGCCCTCCCCCAGCCACAACCGCCTGCTGCAGCTGCTCAGAGTCAACCCCTCCGACTTGCCACTCCTCCTGCCTCCATTCCCTTCTGTTCTCCCCAACCCTCTCTCTTCTCCCCCCTCCTCCCCTACCACCGCCCCTTTCTCCCCCCATCAGGCCCATGCATCCACGCTGCAGTTCATTCAGGCAGCGCCCTGGCTGGGCCTCGTGCCCTCCCCCAGCCACAATCGTCTGCTGCAGCTGCTCAGAGTCAACCCCTCCGACCTGCCTCCCCACGAGGCCTTCACCCCCAGGGGCCTCCGCCACCGCTCACCCCGCCACCGCCCCTCCCACGAATCACGCCGAGAAACAAAGGGCGGTGGATCAACAAGGGCGGAAGCAGCCTGGGCATCTGTGGCCCGTGGAGCTGCTGGTGATGCTGCTGCTGATGACGATTGTCGTGGTGATGCTGCGGTGCGGAGCGGTGCAGATGGGCAGGGGATGGATCAGGGCAGAGATGGTTTTTTAGCTGCCCGAGGGGGTGAAGGGGAAGCCGAGGACGGGCAGATGGGTTTCCCGCCGGAAATTTCCCTCCCTCCTGCTGCAGCTGCAGCTGCTGCCGCTGATGGTCCTGCTGGTCCTGATGCTGCTGCGTCTGCAGCTGATGGTTCGTTGTTGGAGCTTCACAATCAATCGCATGGATCCCGTCGCTCAGACCCGCACGATAAACCCTGGCACGTCGATCCACCCCAGGCGGGCCCTCCTCCTCCGCCTGCCCCCCCAGCGGCACCTCTCACGGACCTGCTGCAGCGGGTGTGTGCCTCCGTGCCCGTGGTGCGCTCCTCCATGCTCGGCATGCTGCAGGCTGCTCAGGTGGCAGGTGAGACCAGACTCGATCGTTCGGTGAGGTGCGGTGCGGTGCAGTGCGGTACCGCCCCCTCCTCCACCTGCCCCCCCAGCGGCACCTCTAACGGACCTGCTGCAGAGGGTGTGTGCGTCCGTGCCAGTGGTGCGCTCCTCCATGCTCGGCATGCTGCAAGCAGCGCAAGTGGCAGGTGAGATGATGAGAGGGGTTGGGAGCTGGGTTTCAGGCTTCAAAGTCCATAATATTTTAGCACGTCCGCACATATGCATGGAGAATACCTATCTCGTCTCATCACCCATGCCTTCTCCAACCACTCACTCCCTTCTTTCTTCTTCCTCTCCCTCCCATTTCCCAATCCCTTCCCTCTTATCTTCCTCGTTCCCTTTCTCTTCCCCCACCACCCCTCCCATCCCCAGGCCATCTACTAGGCCCAGGCTTGCATGCAGCACTCAATCAACCCACCCCCCTCCACTTTCTTTGTTTGTTAATGCTTCTTCCTCCCACTTCCTGATCACCATTTTTTCTCTCAACCTCTTCCACCTGTCTCTTCGCCTTCCCCTTCCCTTCTCCCTTCCCCCTTCCCTTCCCCCTTCCCCCTTCCCTTCCCCCTTCCCCCTACCGCCTTCCCCCTTCCCCCTTCCCCCTTCCCCCTTCCCACTTCCCCCTTCCCCCTTCCCCCTTCCCCCTTCCCCCTTCCCCCTTCCCACTTCCCCCTTCCCCCTTCCTTTCCCCCTTCTCTCCCCTCCCCATCCAGAGGCCAGAGCAGTTTGCAGGCAGAGACTCAACTCGCACATGCTCTCTCCACCACTCTCTAATCATTATTTTCCCCTCTCAAATTCTTCTCACCACTCTCTTCTCACCCCTTTCTCCCCCCTCCCCATCCAGAGGCCATCTACTGGGGCAGCGTGCAGGCAGACAGTCTCTTCGCTCACGCCCTCTCAATCCTCTCCACCTCTCTCCACCCCTTCCTACCGCTGCTCGCCCCCCCGGTGGAGCCCTGGGCGGCCAAGGGGCGGAAACCAAGGGAGTTTCACCACCTGCACTCGCTACTGCTCGCTGTAAGCTTGTCCCATCCTATCCTTTGCACGAAGGGGTTTAGGGTTCCGGTTTAGACTCCCCTCCCCTTGTAGCACAGGGGCTGTCTTGTGGATCGACTCACAGAATCCTAGAAAGGTCTGCCACTGGCGGGCAGTATTGGCCCTGTACACGCTCTTGCTAGCTATATAAGAGCGTGTACTACAGGGCCACTCCTTTCTTCCGCCGTTGCAGCAGAGTAGGTGGCTTTCGAGTCGACTCAAAAGTCTTGTGAGTCGACGCAGAAGTCACCTTGGTACAGGGCCACTGCTTTCTTCCACCGTTGCAGCGCAGTAGGTGGGAGAAGGCATCCTGTCCTCTTGAGGCCTACTTTATGTTCGAATGGGTTGTTGTTCTTACTTGGTCATACTTGTTCGTAACTGCACCTTTCAAAATACCTTGATAGCTTCTGTGCCACGCCTCTGCCTTTAAAGCTTGTTTTTTTTCTTCTTCTTGTGCCGCCCGCCCCTTACCCGCAGCTCATATGCCAAAGACAAGCAACGTCTGCCACAGCCACAGCAGCAACAGAAGCAACGTTGCCTGCACTGGGAACACACGCAGACGGCCACGCCAGAACACCAGACACCAACAACACCGCTCCCTCCTCTCCTTCACCTCATTCCTCAGCTTACAACACTCCCGCCCACTCTCTCTCCTCCTCCTCCCCCTTTACTCCCCCCATAGCACCTCTCACCGCCACCCCTACCTCACACTCTCTCAATACCCCCCAATCTCTCCCCTTAACAGTCCCCCATTCAGGCCCCCTCCCCTCCTCCTCTCCAGCCAACCTTCCCGAACCTAGCTCAAAATCCGGCCCTCTAACTCGTCCTTCCAGGCCTGGAGGCTCGGCCGCAGGCCATACCGAACGTGCAGGCTCAGCAGAAACCTTTCCCGGGGCAGGAGGGATGGGGAGAGGGAGGGGAGAAGAGGAGGGGGATGCAGTGGTGTGGGGGGGGAGTGTGGTGGTTCATTTTCTGGGGCAGCAGAGGCGGTTTGAGCTGGATGATCCATGCTGGCATGCTGTGGCTGTGAGCGATTATGAGAGCATTTGCAGCGGTGGTGAGGGGTTAGGTGGTTTCGGTGCTGGTGCTGATGGGGGAGGAAGAGGGGGAGGAGGGGGGGGAGGGGTGATGCTTGGGGTGATAGGGAGTGCGGAGAGGCAGCGGGGCAAGAAGGCAGCGGCAGCAGCAGCAGCGAGAGAGGCAGAGGCACGGCTTCAGCAACTTAAAGCCCAGGTTAGGAGTACAAAGTGTGTTGCCCTAGGGCATGTCCCAAATCTCTAAATTGATACAAGTAGGCCTGGCAACCCCAAAACTCTCTGTACTCGCCTCTATTCGCTCCCCCCTCCCTGCCTGCCACTCCCTTTCCATGTGCTCTCTCTCTCCCTGCCTACCACACCCTTCTGGACGCTCTCTCACCTTTCCTACCTACCTTCCCACTTCAGGACATTAGAGCCAACTTCTGTCTCCCCTCCCTGCCTACTCCTACCTTCCCACACAGGCATTTTTTCTGTGAAGGACGCAAGGCAATTGTGGCAACTTACCCTCTTTACTGCCGCTCTTTTCTTGTCTACCCACCCCCATACACCCTCTCCCCACACTGCCTACTCTTCCCTTCGCGCACAGACAACAATCTTCGTGGAGAGCACGTGGTAAATGCGCCAAGAACATCGTTTCTGCCAGCCAGAATCCCTTCTCACTTATACACCTCCATGCACTCTATCCCCTCGATGCATGTCTACTCTCTGCGTGCCTTCTCCCTGCCCACACAGGCAACCGGCTTTTTGGAGAGCGCCAGGCGACTGCAGCAGTCAGCCAGCAGGCAGCAGGCGTCCTCCCTTTTGACTTCACACACCTCCATACCCTTGTAAATTCTCTGCCCTACTTTTCCCTGCCCACGCAGGCGACGGCCTTTGTGGAGAATGCAAGGAGATTGGAGCAGGTCAGCCAGCAGGCGTTCACCCCCTTTGTTCTCTGAGCTTCCTTCTACCTTTATACTCCTCTATACACCTCTCCAATGTCACTGCCTACTCCTCCCTGCCCACACAGGCAACCGCTTTTGTGGAGAATGCAAGGCGATTGCAGCAGGTCAGCCAGCAGGCATTCATCCTGTTTGCCGCCCAGGCTCCTCTGCCGCCCAAAGCTGCCAGGGTGTGTGGCGCTAATGGCCTTCCCACTGCCACCTGCTTTCCCACGCCGCCCTTTGGCTCGTCTGCCCCTCCTTCTGCGGACTAGTTAAAGGTTGTTTCTGAGTGTAAATTGTTGAAGGCTGTTATGCTTCGAAGTAGCGGTGGGGCGTGTTAAATGCACCAACATAAGATATTACAAATGCTGTTAGATTTTACTGAAGTGTTCCTTTATAGGACTTCCAACCCTCCAATAATTGTACAATTATTGGACGGCCAGAATTATTGGAGTCTAGAATTATTGGAGGGTAAGAATTATTGGCGTGTAAAATTATTGGTGTGGACAGGGCCCTCCTGATGGGGTGACCTGCTAACATATATACCCTGCTCTGTCATTCCAGAACATCAATCAATTCCATTACTCTGATTCTGCTTTCAACCTTTTCAGTGCAAGTCTTCCAGCCTTACTCTTTCTACGATCTAACTTCCGCAACGCCGGCATCATGCCTTTCTAGCATGGTATCAGAGCTACTCTAGGGGGCATGTTGCCGAAATTTGGTCAAAACCTTATCAGCATTCATATTGGACAGACATACCGTCACCCCCCGGATATACCCCCATGGGGGGCAATAATAAAACATGTTTTTTCAAGGGGGTGGGCTTATAATCGAGTAAAGTTATAAGCGCCGGCGTTTATAAAATGACATTCATATTTTTTATATTTTTTAACACCAAACTGTAGGTCTCGTGCTTGCCCTTTCAATCGAGTCGAATTTACATGGGGTCGTCTGTGAAATTCTCGCGCGCGCTGGGAGACACACCCAATCTGACTCACATCCAGCTCCTGACAGCTCCTGCTGACTGGACCCGCATCCAGTGCAGGGTCCGAATGTGAAGGGAACCGAATCTGCAACATATCTGCCTGCTAAAGTAAAAATCATTACAACGTTTTGTACACATTTCAAATTTTAAAGTTTACGTGCGCTTATAATAAAACTAGTTTTTTCAGGGGGTGCGCTTATAATCGAGGAGGGGATATAAGCGCCATATGCCAATTAGAAGCGCCAGGCGCTTATCCTAGGGTGGCGCTTATATCCGGGGGGTGACGGTATTAGCAAACTCGCACAGCAAGTGACAACATTTAGATTGAAGGCATGGCGCGGTTCGACGATGAAGTCGATGCTGGATATGAGGCGTTTGAAGAAGCCATCATGGCTCAACATGAGCATCTGGAGAACATGATTGCAAGGGCACCACCGACACTCCAAGCATCATTAAGAGCAAAGTTCAACATGCAAGCCCAAGTTCGAGATTTCAGCAACCCATCCCTCCGTGAACAGTCACATACAAGCACTCCGCGTACTAACCAAACCCATGCTTCAAATATGGATGCAGGGATTGTACGTGAAGGAGAGGGAAGCTTACCCCAAGGAGGAGAGTCATCCCAAGGGAGGGATGCATCCTTCCAAGGAGAAGGGAGCTCCCACCCCGAACCTCAATCAACCATGCAAAGGGAAGCAACGGGGAGGGATGATGCGTATGGGAGTGGAACGAATGTGATGGAGCATGGTGATGGGATCGGCGTGGGAAGAAACGTGAGAGGACAAATTGGTGAATGGAGTGGTCGAAGCAGTCATGTGGGCATGGAAGGTGTGGGATTCGAATCCTACACTATTGGTGCTCCCCCACTACGACGTCTTGCTACTAATTCCCATCCCATTGGAGTTCCCGTGATGGGCAGATCTCACCTTTTTGGCAACAACGTCGTACCTCCTCGTGCGCCACGGTCTCAAATGGAAGCAGTACCTGCAGGAAGCATGGGGCGCATGGGGCACGGGATGCAGTCAAGTGGAGTTATGCGACGTGATCAAGTGGAAGTGGTGGAACGTGAAGGCACCCAACGAACAATACAACTACCTCGACCATCTAACGTGCCTACGCTCTTCGACCCGTCTCCACGCGAGTACACGGAAGAAGACAAGGACACGTTGTCCCGCAAGATGGTGGGAGCAGCAGTGGACAAAGCGTTCACAACAACCCCGTTCGACGGGACTGACTTCCGAGAATGGGCTCTTCGGTTTCGGATGAATGCGCGCGTGACAAATCTGTGGGAGCTTTTCGTGACACTACAATACCCGATTACAATGGCGAGTGGAGAAATGCGAGATGCGATGGAACGGCTGGAAGTTCTACAAGCAGATTACTCACAACGGGCTACGCTGGCCTTTTGGGTGCTGCTACATAGCGTGAGCGCAACGATTCAGCTGCAACTGGACGTGTTCCAAGAGTCATACAGTCCGGCATTCGAAGCATGGGAGTACCTGATGGAGACTTACCAGGCAAAGGATTCGGTGGCAAAGGCATCTCTCCAAAGGCAATTGGACAACCTGAGGATGGGGAGTCAAGAAAGAGTGGAGGAGTACATCAACCGAGCAACTGCAATTCGTGACAAGTTAGCAATGGCGGGCAAATTGGTGGATGAAGATTCATTCACCTTAAATCTGATTACCGGACTGTCGCCGCATTGGGAGGAGCTAAGGCATTCAGCAATGCTACACGACATCTCGGACAGCCACACACTACAGCGAATGATGATTCAGGAACAGCGCTATCAAGACCTCATTAGCAAGACCAACCGTGATAAACGTCCTCCCCGCATGGCTGGTCAAGCACGTAGAGATACTTCACCAGCAAAGGAGAGGACCGACACAAAGGGCGACCAGAATTCGGCAAGGTCAACGGGAGGGCAGCATGCGATGGTTGGGGACAAAATCAAAGGCAACGAAGGAAAGGGAGGGCGGTCAAATCTTGTGTGTTGGTACTGCAAGGAATCTGGCCACCCGTTCTACAAGTGTCCCAAGGCGCCTCTGGGTTGGTCACCACCAGGTTGGGAACCACAAAACAGAGGGAGAACAAACCAGCGCACCTGGAGTAGCCGTTCGTCCTCGCCTCGAAGGAGTGAAAGCCCGAAGCGTGACAACCAAGCGACAAAACAGCAAGGGGCAGCCGGGGGAGACAACAAACGGACTATTGCAACGGTTCGATCGTCACAAGCAATGTTACCATCAGCCGGAGGGTCGCTATGGTTGCTGGACAGCGGATGCAGCCAACACATGACTTCAAAAAAGGATTGGTTTGAGGGTCTAGAGGAGCTAAACGAACCTGTTTACGTGGAGCTTGCTGACGGGAGCCACCTGTTGAGCTCGATGGCGGGAACAATTCGAGCCACGGCACCTAATGGAACAACTGTACGCTTCACCGACGTGCTCTATATCCCCGAATTGAAGTCCAATTTGCTCTCCTATTGCCAACCGCCCAAGAAGGGAGCTCGGATTCGTACTCGTGATGATGGACACATATAGATCACAATGGCAGCTGGAGATGAGCATGTGGTCATTGGGGTTTGGATGATCATGCATGGTGTGCTCATGATGCAATATGAGCCTGCACTTACATCTGCCCATGAATCTGGTCATGATCATCCGAATGAAGCATCGAATGAACCTGGTCTTGGAGGGCTGAATGTGCATTCTGCTCATACATCCGTCACATACCGCATGGCCCACAAGCGCTTGGGTCACCCATCCTACACATCCATGGACGCGACATTTTGCAATGGAGATGTTGAAGGACTCTCCATGTCCGACAAGACATGGACGCAACATTTCGCAATTGAGATGTTGAAGGACTCTCCATATCCGACAAGACAAACCCCCTCAAACCCCCGCGTGACTCCTGTCTTCGAGGGAAGATGAGCAAAGCCCCATTTCCCACAAGTGGTGACAAGCGCACAACTCGACCTTGAGAGCTCGTGCATAGCGACATCATGGACTTGGGTGACGCTCACCCTTCACTTCGCTACGTGCTGACGCTCAAGGATGACTACACCAACTACCTGTGGGTGGCGCCGTTGGCTCGTTGGTCCGACATGGCAGCTGTTTTCTTGGCATGGCATCGCGAGATGAAGACCAAATTGCCCACGCAGCTGCTGGCTGCCTTACGCACGGACAATGGGGGGGAGTATACCGCAAATGCTTTCACAGACTACCTGAGCTCTCACGGCATCACTCACCAAACGTCCTAACCACACACGCCACAGCAGAATGGTGTCGCCGAACGGGTTAACCGCACACTCATGGACAGGGTGCGCGTAATGACTACTGGGGCCAGCCTTTCCTCTAAGTTTTGGCCTTATGCGTTGGAATATGCAGCATGGCTACACAGCCGCATCAGCTGCAGCAGCAACCCATCTGCACACTCACCGTACTTCATGATGACGGGAAAAGCGGCAGACGTCTCCATGGCAAGGACCTTTGGCTGCCTGTGATGTGAAGTAAAGAAAACAGGAATGGAATGACTAAGGAAAGATTGGGTACAAATACAACCCTAGAAACCCTGTACCCCATATGTGCTACCCCACTATAGCCTACAGCAACTATGTCATATAAATCTGACACACCCCCATAGGCAAAGTGGGGGAGAACAAGGGGTCACAAGACCAGTCAAGCAAAGCAAAGCAAGCTCAGGGTGGATCACAAAGTCACCACACAGTCCGAGCACAAGAGTAGGGCCAGAGGCCAGTTCACATGCAGGAGTACAGACATATATATAAAACTAGACAAACAAGAGCAGGCATATATATATGTCACAGTACAAGTGAAGTCAAGAGGAGAGCAAGTGAGGCAAGACAGGCACAAGACCCAGCTGGGTGCAAAAGCGCTGATGGTCACAAGGCGCGAGTGCCTTGGTGAACACATCAGCAGTGTTGGCCTCAGAGGCCACGTACGCAAGTCGCAACTGACCACGCTGCTGCAGCTCACGAGCAAGGAAGTAGCGGAGAGCAATGTGCTTCGTTCTGTGCTCCAAGCGCTGCTCTCGACACAAGGCCAGCATAGCCTTGTTGTCTGCGTACAGCACTGGAGGAGAACGAGGCGGCTCTCCAAGGTCAGTCAGCAGGTAGGTGAGCCAGCGAAGCTCCTGTGCAGCCATGGCCCCGGCGTAGATCTCAGCCTCACAACTGGAGCCGAGAACCGAAGACGAGCGAGTAGACCGCCACGAGACAGAGCCGGAACCAAGGCTGAAGGTGTAACCCTGTGACGACCGCTGCGT